ATCGTTTCTTCCATTTGCTTTAGCTACTTGACATTCAAGAGCAAGTTTCAGAGTCTTTTCTGACATCCATTTTGGTCTCTTTTTTCTTTCCCATCTTTTTGGAACTTTTGTTTTCTTCATGTATGATGTCCTTGATTTCATCCTACAACTCATCTGGTCTTTGGTCATTAGTGTTCAACGCGTCAGATCTACTCTTGAGATGGTCTCTAAATTCAGGTGGGATATACTCAAGGTCGTACTTTTGCTCTGGTGGACTTGTTTTAATTTTCTTCAGTTTCAACTTCATCTTGCATATGAGCAATTGATGATCTGTTCTGTAGTCACCCCCAGCCTTACTCTGACTGATGATAGCTTCTGTATCATCTCTTTCTACAGTTGTACTCGATTTGATACCTGTGTATTCCATCTGGAAAGGTCCACATGTTTAGTCGCTGTTTATGTTGTTGAAAAAAGGTTTTTTCAATAAATATATTGTTGGTCTTGCAAAATTCTATCATACGATCTCCAATGTTGTTTCTATTACCGAGGCCATATTTTCCATCTACTGGCCCTTCTTCTTTGCTTCCAACATTAGCATTCCAATTACCAGTAATTATGAATGCATCCTGATTGCATGTTTCATCAATTTCAGACTGCAGAAGTTGGTAAAAATCTTCAGCTTCCTCATGTGAGGCATTAGTGGTTGGTGAGTAAATTTTTATCTTTGTATTAACTGGTCTTCCTCGTAGGCGTGTGGATATTATCCTATCATTGACAGCATTGTACTTTAGGACAGATCTTGAAATGTTCTTTTTGACAACGAATTCAATGCTGTTCCTCTTCAACTTGTCATTCCTGGCATAGTAGACCATATGACTGTCCGATTCAAAACGGCCAATATCAGTCCATTTCAGCTCACTAATTCCTAGGACATTGATCTTCAACGAGTCCATTTCATTTTTGACAACTTCCAATTTTCCTAGATTCATTCTTTGTACATGCCACGTTCTGATTATTAATGGATGTAATGATTAAGGAAGAAGGAACTATGATCTACTTCCAAAAAAACTGACCAATGAAAACCTTATGAATAGCAGGGGAACGCTGTCTGATATAATGCTGGAAGATGAGGCCCTCAGGTTGGAAGGCATTCAAAATATGACTAGAGTCGACCTTAATGATGTGGATGGAGGAAAACTTTCGGGACCTTCATTTGCTGATGCGGCACGACTCAAAATGAGAAGAAACAGCTGCAAAACACCCATTAATAATCAGAACATGGAATGTATGAAGAAAGGAACAGGTAAGAGAGGTAAGAGCAGACAGTTCAAACAAAAATTAAAAAGGGCCAATAATGATAATAGTAACATTTTCAAGTTTCCACGTAGTCAGGGAAATAAAATACCTTTTACCTGTGAAATTGTCAAAAATTGCATATATTGTGACCATCCAAAACTGCTAAGGGCGTGAGAACAGGACATTCTCCTACAATGCTATTAGGATATGAATTTCTATGACCTGTCCATCAAATAATCTGGCAGCACCTATTAAAATACAAGAAGTGCCTACCCTTTGATCCATCAACCCCACTTTTAGGAGTTTATTTTAGAGAAATAAAAGCATGAAAGTACATATATTCAAGGACATTTATTGAAGCATTACTTATAAGAGCCAAAAAGTGGAAACAACCTATTTGTCTATCAAATGGAGAATAGCTCTAAATAATGTTTCATCCATATTATAAACTATAAATAATGTTACAACCATATTATAAAATATTATGCAACTATGAAAAGAATGGGTTTTACCTATATGAATTACCCTAGAAAGAGGTATAGAATATATATTTTTTTAAAAAGCAACTGGTATACTAGGGTTCTACTTCTATAAAAAATTTTAAAAGAGGGAGAAGACATCTGTTTATGTATAAGTATATACTTGTATAAGCATGAAGGTGTTGAAGGAATCATACATACTATACTGTTAACATTCATTATCTCAGGGAGTG